GGAGAGCTCGATAAACTCGAGGGGCCAGGATATGCCGCGAGGAGGGCAGAGTTACGCCGAGAGGCGAGAGCAAGGGATCGGCAGGCAAAGTGCCGCAATGCCTCCAAAGACGAGCAAGTTGCGCTTGTCGACGGCCGTGGCCGTGTGGTACGCGCGCGGCTGTGGCCACGAGGCATCGCCGCGAGGGCGCAGGTGGCGCCACACCATCAAGCTTTTGTTCACGTCGAGCACGTGCAGGTCACCGAGGTAGCAAGCGCCTACAGCGGGGAGCGACTCCCGTCGGTGCTGTGTGGTGTTGGCTGGGCCACGCAGCACACGCCCATCGCACCACCGAGGGGCGCAGCGGGGTCGACGCCGCCAAAGACACAGACCACAGACCGTGCGTCCGGCTTCAGCGTGGCGCAGGCCGTGCCGTGGCGCAAAGAGGGCGGCGAGCCGTTGGCGACAAGCCGCTCCCAGGGTGCGGCAGGCGTGCGCAATGCACAGACATTCACGTCCCAGGTGATGGTAGTTGTTATCGTACTACTCTGCTTGGTGACGCGAACGCTGTGGCGACCGCAGATGCAGGGGACGTTGAAGCTGAAAACGGTCGGCGGCGTCCAACCTGTCTCTGGCAGCTGTACACGCAGCTTGCCGCCTTGCGTGATCAGCTCGATGAGCTTCTGGATGAGGTCCGCCAAAACGGGCGGCGACTCCGCCTCGGCCTTCTCTACCGCGGCCTTGATCTTGGCCTCCTCCACCTCGGTGCGCACGCCCGACTTGAACCGCATCTGCTTGACCTTGGCGCCGGGACCGAAGGCCTCCTTGACCACCGGAACGAGGCCGTCGGCCAGCGGAGCCGCGGCGGCGGTGACCACCGGCTGCATCTCGAGGTCATTCTCGGGAACCTTGACGAGCTCCGCGCGCACCTTTTCAACCTCCTCCGCCTGGACCAAGCGGGGCACGACGCCTCGCCCACCGAGATGGGGCACGACGCGGTCGCTAGCCGAGCCATGCACGAGATTGGCCGCAAGTGCCAACGCCTCAGCCCCGACGTCGACATGACCGCCGGCGTGCTTCTCGCGCTGCCCGGCGACGAATGTCTTTGACGGCTTGGGGACGGCGGGAACTTTCACGGCCCCCTTCGTGGCCTTCTTCGGCGCCATGATGCCGTGGTCGAAATGAGGCGGCAGACAGCGGGCACTTTTGAGTAAAGTAAAATTCAGAAAACTACCGAAAAGAATCCGCGAGCGCCCCCCAAGGGAACTCTCTGGACTGGCTCGCGCTCGCCCTGCTGTGCCGAGCTGCAGATGCCGGACCGCAGCAGCGGCAGCAGCAGCAGTAGCAACCGAGGGGAGGGCAACCGAGGCGAAGGCTGGTTCGCCGCCATCGACCGGGCGGTGGGTTGGTGTTTCCACGGAGGCCGGAGGCGGCGCAGCCAAAATGAGGCGCAGCCCGCATATGCGCAGGCCGTCGGTGCCGCCCTCGTCTCACCGCCTCTTTCGCGTCCGGCACAGGAGAGCGAGCGGCAGCGAGTGCGCACGCGATCGCAGCCGGCGCGCCGGCCTCGCACCGCCGAGCCGCTTCCCGCCGCGCCGCCGCCGCCGTTCTCATCGTGGTGGGCGGCGCTCGACCCAGCCGCGCTCGGCGGAGGCACGTCCCTCGCGCCGGACGAGGTGCGCGCGGCCGTGTGGCGCCTCCCCCTCGAGGAGTACAGCACCGCCGAAGAGCTGCGGGCGTGGCCCATCAAGCAGCTCGTGGCGGAGCTGCGGCTCGCCCGCGCTCGCGCGCCCCGCAGCCGGGTCGGCCTCGACGCGCAACCTCCGCTGGACAAGGAGGAGCTGGTGGAGGCGGTGCTGCTCGCGCGCGGCGGCGAGGCCGCCCACGCGTGCGCCATCTGCGTCGAGGACTTTGAGAGCGGAGATACGCTGCGTGTGCTGCGATGCGGCCACCGCTTCCACCTCGAGT